TCGCGGGACTTATTTTTCGCGAATTGTAGGCGATTCGCGAAATTCGCGAAAATGAAGTCGTTTACAGTGTGTCATAATTTTTCGAGGTTGTTCTTGCCATGCTAAATTCAAATCGGTCTTTTTTTATGAGACGCATAAACATCGATACAATCATTGCTATCCTAATGATTGGCTACATGACGATCCTAAATTTATTATCTACCTCAGGAGCTTTTTGGGTGTTACCGTGCACTGAATTAACCCAGAATCCCTGGCAATAGAGTTGCTGCTATTGCAACACTAGTTTTGTGGAAGCGACCACAGTTCGCGTACTACGGTTACCCACATCCGACATGTTACAAGTCCACAGATAGGGAGAGGCAGCGAATCATCGTGGCTGAAATGTTTTCGTAAGTTGTCGTATATTTAAATGTTTGACGTCATTTACAAGTATCTCTTATTAGCCATTTTTACGTGAGTTTCATGATACCAGTACTGTCGCATATTTGTTTCCTTGTATTATTTTAAGTTTATTTTTTGTTGGTTTGACTTGGATACCATTTGCATAAGCTCTGAGATTCAACTCGCACCTGTGGATTTTGTCGCCATTTATTTTTCTATTTTTTGAGAATATAAGAACGCAGGAGTTCATTACTCCAAACTATTAAGTTCTATAATCCATTTAACAAATTTCATAAAAGGAAAGTAGAATGCATACATTTATACAGCGGCCATATAACTCGTTTACAGTTATATGGCCCAAGGTGGGTAAATCTCAGAAATAAGTAATTGTAAAGTAATTGCATTACTTTTAAAAAGTAATTTGTAATTGCAATGAACTACTTTTGCGAAGTAGTAATTGTAATTGTAGTTAAACTACTTTGGAAGCTAAGTAATTGTAATTGTAATTAAATTACATTTTGAAAGTAATTTACCCATGTATGTGTATCACTACTGCGTGATGCACGTTAAAGACCCCAGGCTAACGGCTGTACCGCACTGGCTAAATTTCTCATCTACAGCTGGGAGACTCGTCGCCCCTGTGAGGCAGACCAAGTTCTATATAAACACACACACAACCCAATTTTTGGGGTTCAATCCCTACTTCTGCTCGTTTCGATCTAAACTCCCTTTCTCTTTATGTTGTACCGCAGACAAGGCTAGAAGCGCGAGCTCATAGCGTTGGGAGCTACTCTAAACGCACGAGAGCTTGTGCCGCCTTGATGTGCCCTAGAGCAAGGAGCTCACGCTTGTAGCCTTTTCTGCGGTACATCATAAGATGAAACAGAGTATAGACGCTTTACACACGTGCCAGAATGCAGCCGCCGTTGCTGAGCTTCTCTTGTTTTACCGAGATACCGAGCCACTGAAATTGGTGTGGACGAGCCTCCACAAAGGCCAATGCTGGGGAGAAAGACAGAATAAAATCCAGGATGGCAAAGACCTAGCCTGCTATGGTAATAATGAAGTGAAGTAAACGTAATAAGGGGAAAGAAAAACTGAAAGTCAGTTATGGCGGCGCCCATTCACAGCTTGTAATGGCTGATCGTAATGATCAAATTCGATTTAAATTTGGATTAAAGCTCGTGACTTAGCGCAACAATGTGTGGTAACGTGTTTCTAATAAGACGACGAAGTTATTTATGAGAAAATGCGCATGTACTCTAATATTTTGCGTGCCCATTACTTACCCATCGTTATTGCCATTATTTTGGAGTGACACTTCCCGTGTAGCACTAACACACTTGGAGTGTGTTTCGACGGGTTGAAGTGCTCTCGCTTGTAGAAAATGAAAGACGCTTACCCACTGATGTTCCTGAGAACGCGACGAGTACAGGCTGCACGTCGACAACACACACCAGTGCGGACACCGCCGAGTCGCCGAGCGCCCGACCGACGTTGCACGCCATTTTTTTTTTTTGTCAAAAAAAAAAAAAAAAATCGAGCAGATATAAATTACTGTGACATCACGGACGTCAAAATAACTTATTTTGACGTCCGTAACGTCAGTGGCCACGCCCCTTGTACTTTAAATCGGTGCCGAAAATACGCAGCCGTGCCACGGCGGCCGGCTAGCTCTGATTGGCCAAAAGATAAATTTATTTATTAAAAGAAAAAAAAAACTCTATGTATTTAAATAAATGTTTTAATATACTTTAATAATGCACTAAATGTTCATTTAGGTAAACACATTTTTTCACTAATTATATATTCTAATTAAAAGAAATTATTTAAGGTTTTTTATTATTTTTATAAATATATAAATGTACCCAGTAATTAAAATTCTAAAAATGTAAGTATTTGTAGTTTTCTTCATTAGCAAAGGTCGATACACCCCCAACTTGTCAAAATTGTTGCCCCGTGTCAACGTTACTAAAACACTCAGTTGGGAAACTCGCCATCGAAACCTGGGCCGCTGGCTTCCACCGAGACCGAGCTAAATGCGACAACAGCGCCACTCTTTTTCGTTTGTCTGTACTATGGTCACTTCGAGCTTTTTGAAAGCCTGTTTTCGCGTAAAAACAAACGGAAAAGACTCTTTTTGTATGAAATTTATTGGAGTTTAGTACCAAATGATGGGCGCGTGATGTTTTTATCATCTTTAGTTCGCAAGGTTTTGCGGAACAATTAATATTGTTTTCATACAACCATGCCTCAGCGGGCCTTTCAGGTAGCACGTCCTGACCTATGTGCATTTTAACGTCGGTAGTTGATCGCGGCGCGTCCGCTGGGGAGACGGGGGTGGCACCCCTGTAACCTCTACCGCAGTATCTGTTCTCAAAGCCAAAATAGATGTGACGTGCAGTTCTTCGAGAGGCCGCTGCGGGAGAAATGGTGGCGTCGTGTTCGTCATTAGCTCGGTGCTCGGAGACAGATTGGGGCCACTTCTTCAAAGCTGTCTTTATGGGAGTTTCCCAACTGAGTGCTTTAGTAACGTTGTCCCGTGTGAACTGGGACCGGGGGGAAAGGCATTTGAAGTCCGACTGGGAATCGCTCCAACCAGTTACTTCTTTAACTGGTCCCAGTTCACTCCATTCCCAACTGGGAGTCAAGCCTGTTGACTCCCAACTGGGAATGGTTCAAACCAGTTGACCCCTCAGCTGGTCCTAGTTGGACTCCTATTGGTCCCAGTTGATTCCCAGTTGGTACCAGTTAGTCCCAGCTGAAACCAGTTGAGGTGCCAACTGGTCCCAGTTAAAAGTTTTCGCCTGGGCTTTTTCTGACAGTAGCAGAAGACTTTCAAATTGTTTCTGCTGCGGTTGGTAGTCCCATATGAGAAATTCCGATACTTCTTTTTAACCAATAAAACATTGAATCTGTGTTCCTGTTGACTCTGAACCACATTCCAAGTGTCGTCTGCTGTGAAGACGACTACGGCGACAGAACGAAAGCAATGCCCCCAACGCAATCGAAGCGTTCAGATATTTACGCTCGTATCGGTGTGCTGAGATCACGGCCAGCAATGGAATTGCCTTGGTAAGACGGCACATCTACTATTACAGTATGTACAAACTTGCCCTGATTGTAGCCACCGGATTGTGGCGCCGACGAATTTGGGTTGTTCGATCGAAACGCTTTGCGCTGTTTTGAAATAATACAAAGCGTATGCCATCATAGTCCTATCGCTTATCATGCTCAAGTTGTATTTTTACTGGCGAAAGCGCAAAAACCAACCGTAAACCTTGCTGGTCGCCGAGGAGTCGGGTTGGGACTCGTAAACAGTTGCAGCGGTTGGCAGCCGCGGAGCAGTAGCAGACAAAAATGCGCGGATTAATGCGCCGGCAGTGCCACCTCGCCGCAAAAGAATCGGACACGGTTTCGACCCCCTCCAATGTACAGCGTCTATGGGAAGTTCCATAACTGAGTTGATCTACCTATACTCGGCGACAACTTTTTTTGGCAATGCAGTGGAAGGTACAGGCCCGCGTCTCCTCTCCCATTTTGAGTGTACGCAGGATTTCCTCCTCCCCCATTTCCGGGGAGAGGAGGAGAGCCTGCGTACACTCAAAATGGGAGAGGGGACGCGGGACGTACCTTCCACTGCATTGCCAAGGCTTGACTAGCTTGACTACGCAATCTCTCCAGCAATAACCATGCTAGAGTTCTGGGCTTGTGAGCACCAGACAGCACGAGACCCCGCATGTACGGCCGTCTGTTTGCCGTGAACTAAAGTTATGATGGCGTCACGCATGCTTCGAACGCTTAGTGAGATCGGTCTATTCAAGTCCTTTAAAAAACGCTACGTTCAGTTGCTTTCGATTGCTTTACGCGCGGCGCGTCGTCTGCTACTACCCCCAAAAAAGGTGGCGCCCCCACCCTGACGGCGGCGGCGGCGCGTAGCGCGCCGCCGCCGCCGTCAGGGTAGATGAAAAAAAAAAAAGAAAGAAAAAAAAGTGAGTTTTTTCTGATTTGTATTTTTTTTTTTTTTTGACAACCAAACGTCTGGGAAGTTTTCTGGGAAGAGAAAAAAAAAAATGTGTTGTGATGTCAATACCTTTTACAGTGAAGTTTTATTGAAGAAATTGCCGAAATTGCTTTTCTATAATCCGTTGACTTCCTCAATGATCCCCAGGAGCAACCTGTGGGGGTCACGACATCATGCAAGCAGCCAGAAAGGTTTGCTTCGATAACATGCTTATTTCTATAATCATTTTCGTTTCCACGTCAAGGTAGACGATTTCTGACGGAAAGTCTACTCTTGCTCGCTAAAGTAACTTCTCTTTTTAAGACATTCCATATGAAACTGTGTTCGTGTTGCGAGTTAAGCGAAAAACGGTTGTTTTGAACCATTGCGACAACGATTCGAAACAGTCGAGCAGATGAACTGCATCAATGGCAGCAGACGACAAAGATTGGCTCGCTGTTTGTGTAATTTAATAACCTTCTCAGCAGTTACCGACGAAAAAAAAAATCTGTCTTACTATTCGTGCAAAACAACATAAAACTTTATTTACAAGACATTTCATATAAGCTTCAAAAATTTAATTTTTATCTTGCATTATATTGCCTCGTGTCAAGCAATGGCCGCCGGTGGTGCCACCGTCGGGCTCCCGATCCACGATCGGGCAGAGGACGTTCGGGCGTTGGGGCAGAGGTCGGAAGTCGTCACGAAGGTCGGTTTCAGGACTCGCAGAGGTCACCGATCAGCGCGGAGCCATTTGAACTCTCGGGTGTATTTCCTTCTTTGCACTTGCTGACTTGCACGACGCCAGCCATGTCCGGCCGAAAGTTCTGCGTCGGTGGGAACTGGAAAATGAACGGAAACAAGAGCAGCATTAAGGAGATCTGCGATATGCTGAAGACGGCCAAGCTGGACCCCAACACCGGTGAGTCGAAGGCGCACTTGCCATGGGCAGTGCCGACGCTCTCCCTGGCGCAGAGGTGGTCCTCGGCTGTCCGGCCCCGTATCTGGACTACGTCCGGAGGATCCTGCCGGCCGCCATCGCCGTGTCGGCGCAGAACTGCTACAAGGTCGAAAAAGGCGCTTTCACCGGCGAGATCAGGTGGGCTGGTATTGACGATGTGTTCTGCATGCAGATATCCGCTTGATCGGACGCAGATTTTGGATCTGCGCTCAGGTCTCGAGAGGCGCCGTCAGTGTTTTTCATTTCCCACGCAGGGACGGCGCCAGGATTTTTATAATGGGGGGGGCAGCGGGGAGGCAAAACAAATGGGGCCGGGGGGGGGGGGGGGGGGGGGGGGGGGGGGGGGGGGGAGTGAGTTGCTTTGAGGTGCTATCACCCACGGGCTTGTCAAAGATAGCTTATGCGGTGTGCTCATTGAAAAGGGAAATGCGGAGACACGAGCAGGAAGATGGGGGGGGGGGGGGGGGGGGGGGGGGGGGCGTATCACAGCCAGCAGGGACCTCTGCCACCTGTGCTCAGTCTCACAAGAAGGTTTTGCTTCCCTTTTCGGGATGCCCCATGACCCTGACTGTAACTAAGCTCGCCTTCGTTCACGTCTCCGGTCTCCGCTGAAGATAAGCACCACAGAGCGGAATATGGAGAGGATAGCCAGTAGGCGTCACAAAGGGGAGCTGCTTTATCTAAAGCGCTTGATAGCTTACTCGCCCGCGGTACGCCTTCCCGTGAATGGAAGTTAGTAGAAAAAAGAAAGAATAAAAGGCATGAACGGCTCTAAAGGCTGGGCACTCGTTACACTGGGTCTTGAAGCCGACGTCGCAGGCAATTATTTGCGTACAAAGCTGCTTCACCTTGGGGTGGCAGACGAAATTTTAGGGGAGGCGCCCGCCACCCCTCGCCTCCCCCTGGCGCCGTCCCTGCTCCCACGGGCGTTACAGCCCCCGGGGAGGGGAGGGGTTGGTGTGGTCAGTGGTGGTGATGGCTATGCTGAGTGCAAGTTCGTCTGCTTCTTGCACAGGGGTTGTGATGATGTCAGAAAGCCGAGCTCTTATTGACTGATAGTAAAAAGTAGTGCGTAGACCTCAAGGCATCTAGCATTGGGGTCTACCCACTATATCCTTCCAGTCAAAGTCGATCAGAACTCGGCATCATTCTGACGTCACCTCCATCCCCGCCAACGTTACTAGATTATCTCAGTTGTGGAACACCCGCAGAAGGGGGTACCCCCCTCACTCACTTCAGTACGCCTCATGTCGTTCAAATCGCCATCTAGATTTTCCTTTACGAACTGTGTGTTTCATAGAGTACGGTGAAACGCCATATAGACGCTGCACTTCAAAGCGTACATATTCCATAGAATGCACTGCAGTTACCGTAGCAGCCGTCCGGCGCATCAGACGACGGGAGGCGAGTCGTGGTGAGTGAGGGGGGTACTGCTCGTGCATGCAGCGTCTATGAGCAGTTCCATAACTGAGCTAATCTAATAACGTTGACCCCCGCAAAAGAAGCAGACGACTTGCTCTCGGCATAGGCTCTGTCATAGACGCTTTGCAGCAGCTGTGCATGGACGCCGCCATAACTGACCTTCAGTTTTTGTTTCCTCTTATTCCGTTTGTTTCACTTCATCATTACCATAGCAGGCCAGGTTATTGTGACTTTAGATTCAACTGTGTCCTTTTCTAAAGCATCGGCACTTGTAGGGGATCGTCAACTACCGTTTCAGTTGTTCGGTATCTCGGTAAGACAAGAGAAGGTCAGCAATGGCGGCTGTAATTTGGCGCGTGTGTAAAGCGTCTATACTCCGACGTCGAGCGTAGCAAGTGCGGCGTAGTGCAGTGCACACAAGTGCAGATTAATTGTAGATACCGAGTTCCTACTTCCCAGCCAATGAAAAGCCAAGTTCTGCGCCACACCACATTTGCTGCGCTCATCGTCAAAGTATAACAGACCCTTATGTTGCCAGGAAGGTTGTCCACGAGACATGGCTTGCATGCGATGTCATCCCGCCATGTAGGTGGTCATGCCTACTTGTTCTTCATAAGCAGAGGAAATTCGGCAGTGCGAAACTGATGCTGTAGAAGGTATACGCTCATCAGCAAGACTATAGATACCTTGCGTGTGACGTCACTTCTGACTATGGCAGTCTTTTTTGTGCCGCAAACGTTTCGTTTGCTGTGTTAGTTTCACACCACAGAAATTGTAGTTCGAGGAAGCCACTAACTACAAATAACCATCAGTACCCAGCAATGGCATTGTTTGCAAGCTATGTATAGGGTGTTTTCACAAAACGTCAATCCGCCTTTTTGTTAAAGGGCAACTCCGGTCCATACTTTTGATTTTGGGATTATGACTGTTTTTAGTGCAGTCAGCGTCCCTGAATTGCAGGGTGTAATTTTTTTCGCGGTATTGTGCGTAGTTTTAAAGATATCGACGCCTCAAAGTTCTGTTTGGGGCGCGGCCAACAAAACCGAAACTAGCCGCTTGAGGCCCCGGCAACACAGGATATCAGCCGCTATGTGAACGTGACGTCAGGATCGTTCTCGTTCAACGAGTATGCAGGCCGAGCGAAACCTATCTCTGTTGCGCTAGCCGTCTAAAGATAGGAGGTAAGCTGATTTTGTTTTAATTCTGTATACATAGTAGTTATCCAGCATATGTAGCAAGAGTTAGTGCGTATCACAAAAGCTAGCGACTGGAAAGCCCGTGAACTCGTGCGGTGCCGTACTCGGCAGCCGCCACTGTGCGTGCGCTATGCCATACTCGTCGCTTGTATACCAAAAGCTAGCAACTGGAAAACGAGTGAACTCGTTCGGTGCCGTACTCGGCAGCTGTCGCCGTGTGTGCGGTCTTCCGTACTCGTCGCTAGGCCTAAATTGTCATCGGGGCTCCGTGGATCGAGCGGCGTTGTGCTACGCCGCGCTGCCATTAACGTACAGTACTGGGGGCCCTCTCGATTTTGCGCTGCGGGTCAGTCTGCGTTCTACTCAAGAAGCTTTGAGGCTCTCCGGCGCGGGTCGCGGCGCCCGAACACATGTGTTCTGGGCTGTACACATCAGTTTTTTTGTTTTTCTTTCCTCGGGCGCGTAAAAGCCTAAGTCCAAAGTCCATTCGTCGAGCAGCGTTCACCCACACCTTCTCCAATTTCCGGTCCGTTGGAAACTTGTGAAAGAGCACCTCCGTGTCTGCGCAGCGGCCTGTTTGAGCAGCCCACAGCGCTACAAGTTGCACTCGGCATCTTTCGAGGGACATCTGGGCAGTCTTGGGCGCACCGAGTTGCTCGCTAAAACGAGTCTTGGAGTCCTCACAAGCAAAGAAACAAAAGGCTATACCGAAGCTACACGGGCTACGGATAAAAGCAACGACTAAACACGCCAATCACAAGCTGAAGTAGCGGTGGTAGCAGCTCAAAGAAGCGCATTCCGCGCAACACCCGGGCCGGAGGAAAAAAAAAGAGAACGACACTGACGTCACGACCCAATGTTGCTTTAGCGATCGGTAACCCGCTGGCCGCCCGCTAAGGAGCAGCGGCTCGTGGCAGGTCGCATTTTTATTATCGGCATTAGTTGAGAATGCGGCGTCCCACGGACGTAATATTTTGGCTGGGGTCGTATTTTGTGTCACTGCAGCAATACCAGTAATTGATTTTATTTTGAGTTTTGGCCGGAGTTGCCCTTTAAGAGTGAGTGAGTCAGAAAATGTTTTATTTATCATAACTAAAAAAAAAAAAAAAAGGTGTGATGAAACTTACAAGCTTTTCTGCACTCCCGATTAGAGGGTGTCATGCAAATCTTCACAATGCTTGCTTTCAGCACGCACCAAACAACTCTTAACAATAAAATGAGGGGCAAAATTATCTCAGTGAAAACACCCTATTGTAAGGGCTGCTGATTTGACGCCATCGGAAGCTATGTATATATGGCTTGCAGTAGATGTGATCACACAATGCTGGTAGTGATTCCTACTTATTCTTGACGAGGAGAACAAATTTGGTGATGTAAAGGAGTGTGCAGAAGGTACGCACTTAATAGCAAGATCACAACGATGACAGCTGATGTGACATCAGTGCAGGCCATGTAAGTTGGTGGGCTGCGGAGGTGCCCTTGAATCGAGAAGTCTTGCAGAAGCATAATGGGATGGGTAAAACGAAAGTGGAAACTGGCAATCTTTAGAGAGAAGGCAGAGCAGCTCAAATTTTGCGACATGGGGAGAGATTGCTGTTCCTTGTCCAGTCTCGACGAATACGCCCATTTTCTCTGGAAGGGAAAACATATCTTTTAGTTGTTAATGTCGTGGTTCAGTACGCAGGGTTGAATATGTCTCCGCGTCCACGGGTTTCAGTAATAAGGCCATGGGTATGCTCTGAGACAGGTTGTTGGATCACTTAGAATACAAAGAATAATTCTCACAAACCTGCAATGGGGTGAACGAAGCAGAGTCAGGCATGGTACTTGTAACAGAGCTCCTGTTTCCACTGACCTGCTGGTGGTGAGTTCTTATGTCTTGTAGACACGAGCAAAAGGCCACTGTGCAGTTCTTCGACGATACACTTGCTTCAGAATCTGAGACTGTGCAGGATTGCAGACGACTTACCGCTATCAGCGCCGCCTTCCTCAAGGCTTCCTCTTGTGGGGTCAAAATCAACCAGCGGGAAAACACTTCTTGGAAGCTCCGACTAATGTGCACATTCTTTGAGGTGGCTCAGAATGTTATGACCAGTGTTGCATATAGCTTCTTTTTTAAATAGCCACAGGTACTATGTGTTGGCAATGAGCCTCTCCCGTGATACACACATTTTTTTTTATTTCTGGAAGTCACGAATGTTTTTCAGCACCTTTAGAACATTTTTGGTAAAATGACCATGGCATAGTTACTTGGCATATTTTAGCGCACCATTCCCACGCTCCTTTCCCATGTTGTTCTTCGCATAGTCCTGCCACATGTCAAAGCCTCGCATTTCTTGCCAGCATTCGAAACGTCGGAGAAAATATATAAACGTTCAGCCAAGAGCTTAGGCAAGAGGCATACGATTTTTTATGTCCTTACACAGACTTACGAGGGCACCGGCTTGCACTGGCCTGCTCGTTCCCATTGTTCTGCTTCGCGTGCATCGAGTTTGCTGGCTGTTACGGTCCAGTTCTCTGTGACAGTTGTGAGTCTGTACTCTGTTTCACGATAACTTTCCGAACTGTGGAGGCACGATAACTTGGCGAACTGTGGTCACTTTCTCGTTAAGAATGCTGTGGACGAGCTCAGCTCGTCAATTGGTTTTTTCGGTAGCCCTCAATTCCAAGGACGAGCCTAGTTCGTCTGAATAGTTTGCGGCGCTGATCATAGATGTCAACACTCGTTTTAGTTGGCACCTTTTTTTTGCCGCCTCAGATTTTTACGCAATAAAATTTTGAAAGTTCACCTGCGATACTAGAGGAATAAAATTCCTCAAAAAAATATATAGCATACTTTAGAAAAAAAGAAGAAAAAAAACTGGCACTTAAGGGATTAATAAGAGCGTTGGAGTGAGGCACGCGCCCTTGTGTCACGGGAGCATTCGTGTTGCTGCGCCAGATGTGAGGCCTGGAAGGTTGACTGTCGTTAGCTGGCCAAGAGTCGTCTGCTGCAAAACCAACCAACTTCGGATGAACGCCCACCGCCGTAACATTGCCGTCCACTAGAGTAGCAAGCTCTTCAAGAACAATTAATGAGACAACCATGTACTCAATTTACACAGGAATCTGCGGCGGCGTGCTAATGCCAGCGCAATGTTTTGAGCGTAAGCTGTCGATTACACGGCTGCGATTGTTCAGACATCGTTGAAAAGTCACATTCTTCTCGAAAAAGTGTTGATCCACATTAAGTATTGTTGAAAAGTAAGATGCCTTCGTCTTCCTTCAGTGTCGTGTAGTGTTCTGGTCAGAGATGTCTGACCACAACACTACTAAAAGAACAAGAATCCTAGAACTGCTTCTCTTCGTGGACGGCACTGGTGTTGTGGCGGTGACGGGGCCTCCGTGGCCTCGACTTAGGAGTGTCGTGGCGTGCCTCACTCCGACGCCCTTACTGGGTCGCGGGCGCCACGGTTTACCAAGTCATCCTAAAACTGAATGTAACAATTAACCGCTTCATTCATGCGGATGTCTCCTTGTCACGGAGGGGAATTTTGCGACCCTTGTCTTACGAGTTTAACCCTATTGCTTTTTCAGTCCTGCCATGATTAAAGACTGCGGTGCAACTTGGGTGATTCTCGGTCATTCGGAAAGGAGGAACGTGTTCAAGGAGTCCGACGAGGTAAGGGCTGGCCCGTAGTAAGTGCGGCATTCTTTGCCAACGAACGTCTCATTATGGCAAGTGTTTCCCCGTACGTCGGGCAGAATACTTGCGTACGAACTACGCGTCATACGAAAATAAAATGGGTAAAGTGTTGGTTTCTGTCAACGATGCTATTTAGTGAGGTACATAGCATTTAAGAGGATTAAATTTAATTAGATTTATGTGACCAGCTTACTAAGGCCTTGCTTTTCCCATTGAGCGAAAATAAGGAGAAAACAATCATAAGAATGCAATTGAGCGATGGACCGCTCAATGGGCGACCCTACTTATCTCATTACCTTGGTGTCGTCCTTGCAAATGTCCTAGAAGATGTCCTAGACCTCTAGGTCAATCTCACTTGTCACATTACGTGAAAAACTAGCGTTGTCGACGTTGTGACCGAATTTGTGGCCGTAAAAATGTGTCATCAAGCGGCATCATACGTCATCAGCGTGATGTCGCTGTTGGAGCACCGTGTGCAAAAGTTGCGCTTCGGAGTTCATCTGTGCTCGATGTGTGCTTTGTGTGATGGACTATGAAATGATTGCGTCTAGATCTACAGCCTTAACAAGGCAGGGGACGGGAGTATACGAGAAAGGTTATATATTATCATGTACAAAAGTAGGGCTGTTTCAAAACTGGATGAAAACAGCTTGGAATCATTGAGTGAAACAACATGAACTGGTAATACATTCCATTCTCGCATGAGAAGAATAAAAAAGCATTATGAAATGCGAAATTCTTGCAACTGATGTTAGTGCTTGTTATGAGTGATACGCACCTGATGAAAGATTACTTAAGTTGATAGGTCAATGAAGAGTGAATCGGAAAAGAAGCTTCGAGTGTTTGTTTTTCTGTCTATACTCGAGGGAGTGAAGATTAGGTAGAGCGTTCAGCTGTGTTGGCGAATCTAATCTATGATACCTGGAAACAATAAAACGTAAGGCTAGTCATTGCACCATTTTGAGACCAAGGACGAGACTTCTTTGTGTGGGAGTCCCAGCAAGCAGTTTACTACAGTATAGACCACTTACAACGTAACCGCTTATAGTGCAGGACCGGGTATAACGCGGCTTTTTTAAACCACCGGTTCGCCTCCCATAGAACTCCATGTAATTACATACCGCTTAAAATGCAGGCGCGCAAAGGGAAATACCGGTTATAGTGCGGTTTCTGGCACAGCCGACGACCGGAGCAGCGAGCACGCTTCCCTGTGCGACACTAGATAACGGCGCTGACGGCGCGAGCCGCAAGCCTCCCTACCCTCAAGCAAGCGGCACTCGCGGGGCAAGGAGGTTGCTTGAACTAGCGTGGAGAAGCGAAGAGAGAGGCTTCAGTTGCCATAGTGACAAAGGGACGCACGCACTTGTTGTTCACGTGCGTGCGTCCCTCCGCTGCGTTGGAAACAAACAACCGCAACGACAGACCAATCGCAGGTTGAGGAGAAGTGTTCGCGCGCGTTGCATGCTGGTCGCGAGCCGGCTGCTTCTTATCCGCAAACATGGCGTCGGTTGTGATCGTCGTCGTAGACGACGTTCATTTCATCGTTCCGCGTAAAAGCGCTATCCTTGACTGCGAATTTTCGCTGTGTGTCGCTATGATAACCCAGCACGTACTAGAAGGGAAGATCCACCTGCTCGTGCGGCGATGTCGTGGCGGCGCTCTCAAGACGGCAGAAACGCCCGTGTCGTGGTGTTTGTTTACTTCGACTACAGTGGTGATTTCTAAGCATTTGTGTTCTCGAACATCGCCCGGATTTCTTATTTGGCGCATTTCATGCGTGTGCTCAAGTTCAAGGTATTACTGGCGCGTACCATATGAAGGATGCGAATTTTTGCGCGTTTTCATCTCCGGAGAAAAGTGATTAGGGTTAGCACTCCTGAACGCTCGTAACGTCCGTCCGCAACCCGCGACGCCGTTAAAAGGCTGCGCCAGGCAAAAGCCGCTCATTTCTTTCAAAATGTGTGACACACTTGAGACAGAACTGTACTAGTCTGGTGAAATAAAGACTTTCCTCAAACTAAGCTTTATTTTTCATCTAACATAGAAATAAATTCTTCTAGAAAGGTAAGTTGTCTCATGGCACGTATTTTGGCCTGAAAAATTGATGTTTTGGTTATAGTGCGGTACCGCTTATAGTGCGGATTTTCGCGACTCCCGCGACATACGTTATATGTGGTCTACACTGTATCAGTACGTGGTTGCTAATTTTAAAGACTGCCGTAAAAAAAGGCCAGTCTTGTATTGGATTTTCAGCGACATTTGTTTCATGTACATTCCATCGAAAATTGCTTGTCATAGTAACACCTAGGTATTTGTAATTATCTATTCTCTTTCCAAAAGAACATCATAAGGACTGTAATGGCATAGACATTTTTTTCCTATATAAAGAGACATTTTTCATTTCCTGCACCATGCATGAACTTTATGTAGACAGGACAGGCACTTAGATTTTTTTGGTCAGATGCAGTTCTTACTTTAGTGTACAAAATACAACGACACGCAAACAGCCTTGCATGCATCGCCATGCCCTTTTTCAGATCATTTTTAAAAATGAGCAAAAAGGTCTTGGAACTAAGCCTTGTGGCAGAATTAACTACATTTTATGGGAAAGAACTGCCTCGGTCTATCCTTACTATATTTCATTCTTTGACATAGGTTGTAATTAGCACAATAAGTTTCTATGCTCTACTTTATTGAGGGCCTTCTTAAAATGTAAAAAAATAGTGTCGATTTGCCCTCTACTGTCTAGAATTTTAGTAAAGAAATGTATGACATTGTTTATTTCCGTAACAGTTCTTTGTCTAAGCCCGGCATGCCCTTGGCGCAGCTGATTGGAGACAAGGTGCATCATGCCCTGGAGTCCGGCCTGAACGTCATTGCCTGCATCGGTGAGCTGCTGGAGGAGCGGGAGGCCGGAAAGACGGAGGAGGTGGTCTACCGGCAGACAGCGGCCATTGCAGGTCTCTCGCCTTCTTCGGCTCTCTTTGGAGCACTCTGCACGTCTTGGCCCGGGATGGGGCAGTTGTGGTACTGTGGCTCTAGCAGCCGGAGTGAGGACACCGGTTGAAGGTACTTGGCGCGTGCCACTAGAAGCGCCAATGGTGGTCTCCACTTGTGGGCTCGAAAGTCACCGTGGAAGCGGGATGGCTAGCGACTGCACTCCCCTCATCCAGTCATGTGGGATCTGGTGTGATGGTGTGAATATACCGTAAAATCCCGTGAGGGCACTCTCCCCCGTGATATCGCCCATCTTCTCTTTCTGGCTAAATATCTAAAATGTGAAAATTTTGAAGTATCGCCCACCCGCAACTCTTGTCGGACATCAAGCAATGTCCCACGGGAATCATATCAACTGCGCGATCTGCAGTTTTGGTACGTCTAACCAGGGAGTTTCTAGCGGGTTCACGCATTTTTGTCCATGATCTGCCCATGAAATATTGGTTCATGGGATGTGCAACTTGATCACGCGTGTTTATTGCATCAGAAAATACGAGTCTGCTGTGTCCACGATCCGCGGTATTTGTTCCTGTGGCATGCGCGTTCGTAGTGGGTTCCTGCGTTTTTCGTCTGCAATCTGTGCACGCGACATCGGTTCCCGTTGCGTGCAAGTTCGCGGCAGGTTGCCGCGTGGCCTTCGCACCGTGTACTGTGTTTCCATGGTTCTAATGTACACTTCTTTCTGCCAAAATTGCTGCCCAAAGCTACATGTGCGTTACAATCGAAACCAAAAACTGAAACTTTAGAAAAACGGAATACTTGGTATATCATAGTTAGCCCCATCACCATCTTAACTGTATTTTTTCATTTGCCATTTTGGTATTCGTATCGCACACATTCTCCCATCTACAGAGTCATGTCCGCCATTTTAAGATGAAAATAAAAAATCCACCGAAAGGTTTTATTTAAATGAAAAAAAAAAAAAAGAAGCAGCATTGCGGGGCCTCGCTATCCCAGCGACCCGACGAGCTCACAAGGTGTTGTTTGGAAGACGACCCTCCCAATGGCGACGGTCGCGCACTCGAACATGCGCAAGAAGCGCAGCACTTAATACGCTTTAGACGAAAACAGGGATTACCTCTTTGTGAACGGAGAAGAACCATCGTCAGACTCTAACAACAGCGACTAGTGCACAGCATTTATTTTTGTGTCGGTGTTCGTTTTATAAAGTCTGTTCTATGAGGTATGTGTTGAATCTTCATAATTTTACCTGTGTGGTAGAATTGGCTACAATTTACTTTTTGGTTATCTGAAAGCTGAATCTGCCTGCGCGTTAGAATCGTGCAAACACCTAAAGCGAATCTGCTGCGTCCGCAACTTCTTATACTAATGACACAGGATGTCGTAGCAAATTACCGCGTGTTTGTCGCGTCATAAAACCCAAATTTGCCATGTCCGCAATCCGCGGTATCAGTTCCCATTTTCTGTGGTTTGTAGCAGATAGCCCAGTGTCTTACCGCCTTTTTTATACATTTTTGCTGTCGCATCCCCAAAGATAGCCCACCCCATGTTTTTCCCAATTTCTCTCTTCATTTAGGGTGGGCGTCCTTACGGGATTTTGTGGTAGGTGTGGATTGTTGTACTTAGGTGGAGAAGCAGTTGAAGGATGAAGCCTACGACAAAATTTGTGCACTGAAGTTGGAGGCGTCTTCAGTTCGTTGTCGTGAAAACTTATTGAATCGCGGAATATCTTTACGGTAACTCTCGAGGTAATTTCTGGCCAATGAGAAAAGCGCGATGCTACTTTGGCAGCTAAGGCTGCCGTATGCATGAACTTTAAAAGAACCCAGCTTTGCTGAGGCTCAGGAGGGGCAAGATGATAATTTATCATTGCTGCAAAGTTACCCGCACAAAGGTTCACATGTTTAGTTCCTAACTCGGCTGTTTCAGCCTTTTACTTTTAGGCTGATTCAAGGGTGGTCCAACCTACGAATGGCTGTAGTCCACGACCGTTTGGCGTCGTTTGCTCTTAAAGCGCGCACCTGGCGGCTGGTCCTGCACAAAGCTGGTGCAAGTGTAATGCCCCCGTCAGACGGGCAATTTCATCTCGGTTCTATCAAACGACTGTTGAGCAGTCGGCTAATCGGTGCGTACCGCACCTGGTGCATCGCATTCCACGCGCGGTGGATCGCGAGCCAATTTGCCTATCATGCGCGTTGTTCGACAGAACTTGCATCACTGTGTACTCATGTGCCACGTGCGGCGCCCCTCTCCGTGATTGTAAGTAGTCATTGCACTTGAGCTGGGATCATGAAGTCTGGTGTTTCTGGCCCTGTTTCAGCCAAGGTCACGGACTGGAACCGGGTGGTGCTGGCCTACGAGCCGGTCTGGGCCATTGGAACGGGCAAGACTGCTTCCCCCGAACAGGCAGGTTCCTTGGCTGTTGAGAATTTCTCTGTGGTCCCTGGTTGAACCCTAGTTGATACGTTTCTCGGTGAACCTCAACGAAGGGCACGCGTGATATGGGAAAACGTAACAACTCGGTGGCACTTGTTGGACCTAGAGGAAGTGCAGGAAGCAAATCTCACTGAGGAAGCAACTTTCACTCTCACTATGTATACTCATTGTCAAAAAAGAAAAAGAGGAAGTTTTGCACATTGTTTGTGCGCCGTGTGAAGTAGTTTTTGCAAGGTTCGATTGTCGAAGAAAGAAATGGTGGTTTTGGCGTTTGAGATGTGTATGTCTTGATAAAATAACGTAAAGCTAATCTAAGATGCACCTACATACATATCTTAATTCACCTTTTAAAGGTGGAGATTAGTAATGCTACGTGAAAAGCTGAACTTTGATTACTACGGTCCTCAAAGTGAATATGAGTACATTTCCTGCCGACTTTCAGTGTTGTGAGGATATCTTAGTGTTGTGCCGTAACTAGTGTACTAAAGCATGAAATGCTTTTAAAGGGACCATGAAATGACCTTTTTACTTTTTCCAGATAACTTTTACATTAAACCGTCAATGTTCACTGAATGCCGAACAGGCACCCGTTTTCGTCTCGGTTTATTCACTTCTACACAAAAAATTATTGAAATATTGACTTTTTCATTCTCTCCAACTGACCGCAAAACAAGCCGTGACGTAGGCCGTTTCCGGAACCGGAAGTTCTCTCGGCAGTAGGAGAATGGGAGTGTTAGCGGCAACGAGTTGGGGTGCGCCGGTAGGTTTTACTGCGCTGATGTCACCGACGTATTTCCTAAATCGGCGCCTCTCATCGCCGCCTCTCATCGCCGCATCGCAGCTGAGCGAAATTCAATGAGATATGTTGCGCTACAGCGACAGCATGGGACTAGTCCCATATGCCGGTATGCCTGTTGGGAAGTGCAGCGAGTCTTCCGGTGAAGACTCCAGAAGTCAACCACCCCGTCATTGTTGGCAGAAGGGCCGGCCCGTGTCAGTCGTTTGCAAAGCGACGTAGATGGCGTTTTTCGCGGCCTCGGAGATGCAGGAGCGAGCCGACGTTAAAAAAGATACGTTTGAACTACGAGTGTCAGCAAGAGCCACGTAAATACCTGTTTACACTCGGAGCGGACGCGCGCGCTTGATGGAAGTGCTGTATTCGCGCTGTTTGTAAGCGCTTCGGGACCGTTCTTTTACGATTGCAACTCGATACTGACGCGACACTCGGCAAAGAAAGGTTGGACCGGGGTTGTACGTATACCTCCCACGAACTGTTATAGCTCGACAGTGACGTGCAGTCTGTCAGAATAAAAATGGCATACCAATAACAAAGTGTACATACCGTATTACGAAGGTAATCCATACGGCGTTTATTTCAGCTCTATATCACACAAAACAAGAAGATAGAATCGACGAGAGTCCCTTTTCTACGAGTGTTCGTCAACACTGCCTCGGAAAACAAGGGGAAGAGATTGACCTCACCTCTTAATCTAGACTTGAGGTCAGCGATCAAACTATAATACGGGAAGGGTCCACAAGGGTCGCGCGGGCATATTCCATTTAGCACGCCAGCCGGTCGTAGGCAGACGGTCTTGCGACGAAGCAACGCAGCGCCGAGTCGGAATGCCTGCTAGGCCTATATTCTGAGCAGCTCGCTTCGTCGGAGTCGGTGGATCCAGCGTTCTTGTTCGTCGTGGTCTGTTTTAAGTACTGTTTTCTTGCTGCTTGAAGTCGGCACGCGCGGGAAGAACACGTAGAAAAATAAACGTTCAGTCAGTCAGAGTTTTGAGAGGAAGGAAAACAAAGAAAATAAACGTTTGTCGGTCGCCGCCACCCAAGTAACTGTCGGCCCTGCCCTACTGCGCACGCGCAGTAGTTGCTTCGTTTACCACACGATAGATGGCGCTTGGCTCTCAGCATTATCAAATTTGGCAATTTTCGCCACACATCTCTAATTATGCTACAAAATGTGGATCTGAATATTATTTAACAAAACTTTTAGGAAACATTCGCCGGCTATTTATTGTTTACGATCGCGGTGCTGGTGAGGTAGGCTCTTACCCAATAGGCGACCTGGATTTGGCTGACGTGCTCCATTTCCGCGGATGCATCGTAGTGAACAGGCGAAGGAAGGAAGGCGCAAAAGAGTCCAGTTTTTTTTTTAAAGTTCTATAGCCAATAATTTTTTTTGGCTCCCTATTTTTGTGTTTTTGTGTTTCTTTTCACACCTTTTACGACGTGCGGTGGATGAAACTCGATTTTAAAATCATTTCATGGTCCCTTTATGTGGAGACCTCAATCCTAGAAATCAGACTTCCTGTCCGTGAATTTTGCCGCCTAATTTATTGGGGACATTGATGTCACATGATTGCGAATTTTTCAGGTGAATTTAGCGGGGTGAATTTTTCAGGTGAATTTAGCCAAAACGTCTGCTTGACGTCTCCTCTAGAAATGTAAACGATCGCCCCTTAAATAGTACTGCATTGCATGCTCTATAGAATTTTTGGAGATAAAAGTTCCTGCCAACTTTTTTATTTAAAAATTATTCGTTAAATTTTTTTCTTCAAAACTGTTGTCTGAAATTAAGGGTCGAGCCATACTCCTGACCAAAGAATGCTGACCGTGTTGGGAAAATTGCTGACCCAATCAACCTAACACAGTTGCTCCTCCTCGTCAGGCATGCCAGTGCAAAGCGATTTCCTTTCTACAGTTTATCCATGTCGTGTGTTTATTGTGAACAATAGTTGGCTGAAGGGAAGAAGTAACTTCGTGGCTCCTTTGAAAACGGGGCATTGGAAATGGAGAAATGAGCAGAACAGAGCATATTGACTCAACCAGTGAGCCCTTTAGATTCTGAAGTACTCAACCACCGCCTGACAAATGTGCTCCCCCAACTTCTCTTCCCACGTCGCCTCCTTTTAATGCTTCATCGGGAGGTGTCACGTGGTCCGCTTCACGGCGAGCTTCACAATCTTTTGAGCAAGATTTCTCGTCGCCTTACCATAACTCGTAGGCCAGCAGGTTTTGCGTGGGTGAGTTCGGTCTAAACATGGCGCGACGTGGAAGAAAGAAAATTACGCCAGACATCACCTTTAGTACGAGATTTTTGTGTATTCTGGTTACCTCCTTTAGCTCAAGGTTTGTTTACATATTTATTTATTTTAATACCTTCAGGGCCTAGGAGAGTTGTGGTTAAAATCTATTGTAATGAAGTAAGAGACTGCAGTCATTGTTATTTTTTTAAATATATTTATTTTGTAGGTTTGCCGCGTAGGGGCAGAGATAAAGGCGTGGTGCCTGACAAAGCCTTTGCCCCCTAAAGATTAGCAGCTCTAAATAGTTACATAGTAACAGATTCTCCAAAGAATTATACAATTAAAATAAAACAAGAAAAACAAGTCAAAGAAATAATTGAAAATAAACACTTCATTCATTTGGTAAAAAAAAATACTATAAATGTCAGTAAGTGTTGGTCATGAAAAACCAAAAACAGAAACAACTATAAAAAAAAAACTAGAATGCAATCTTACGTACCTTTGACATGTCAGCATCAACAGCAAGCTCAGATTGAGGTATACAATGAAAACATTAGTAAAGTAAAGCGGCTCCTGGTTATTCAATATTAGCTACGGCATTTTTTCACTTTTGACTGTCTTCAATTTATGCTGTCTTTTGGTGCAGAAAGGTGATCTCCCCTGTTTTGTGGTGAACAAATGAGTTAATAAAAAACTGTAGTTCTCTATGATGGACTTTCTGCCTTCTAAACGTGACCTAATCGAAAACATAGTCTATTGGGGTAAAACAAGTTTGTTGCGCAGGTTCCCCATTTAACTACTCGATCCTTGCACCGCTTGAAAGGGACTAAACACCCTGCATTCTCTGTTGTCATTGTCCGCCTTCATGGCTTGCTCTCGATCTCTTTCCTGCCAGGCCCAAGAAGTGCATGCACAGCTGAGGCAGTGGCTGAGCAAGAACGTGTCCCCCGACGTGGCAAAGAAAGTTCGAATCCAGTACGGAGGTGAGAGACTCCAAGGAAGCGTCATCCCCATTGGGCGGTTCTGAAACAAGTCAGAGGCACAGCCACAGTATGTTTGCTCAGAGGCCGACGACCAGACTCGAGATTCTGCAAGACAGAAGATCCTCCTCACCATGGGGGAGAGGAAACGGGAAACGGTGGACAGGGTATAAGGGAGGAGAGGAAGAAGCGAGAGAAAAGTGGAAAGCGCGAACTGTTCTGAAACAAGTCAGAGGCACAGCCACAGTATGTTTGCTCAGAGGCCGACGACCAGACTCGAGATTCTGCAAGACAGAAGATCCTCCTCACCATGGGGGAGAGGAAACGGGAAACGGTGGACAGGGTATAAGGGAGGAGAGGAAGAAGCGAGAGAAAAGTGGAAAGCGCGAACTGGTCTTCGGTCTTTAACCTTCCGAGTACCGGGAATTTTCCCCCGCATGTCGAACGCAAATTTTGGTTCCATGCAAAATAACTGCAGCGTGCCTTGTGAAGTACATTTATTTATCAAAGACACGCCGATCCACGTCCTCAAAAATTGTACTTTTCAAGGCGGTACCACGCAAAGTGCCACCCCGGCCTCGCACCCTGGGGTCACACTTTTCGAGTGGCCTTGGCCGACGTTTTCCTTTTTTCAGAACTGGGACTCTCTTATTTATTTTTTTCTTAATAAATTAGCTTATTACGAATTTCGAGCTCTTGGGAATTGCCATGAAGCGCGAGGTTGAGCACCATAGATTCGCCTTTTCGGAACATCGAAGGAGCAAACCGAGACAGAAGTCCCCTGAACAAAACTTTCCACGTGTCGTCAACCAGTGTTATCTTGAAACGAAGTATTGCTTTGCACATAAAAGTAAAATCGTCGCACCAGTTGGGAGAGGCAGGGAGAAAATCTAAACTTAAACCTGCCTCGGAGCGCGCCCGAGCAAGCTTGCCCGTTTAGCTCTGACTGTTTTCCGATCTCCCCAAACTTAACACATTTTCGGAATACCCGGGCTGCGCCCTTCGCGGCACGCTATTTATTTTATCTAATTCAAGATATAGCTATCGAGAAAACTGCAAATGAAGGTTATGCCAAAACCGGCATTGAAACGTTCCCGTGCTCTGCGGGGGGGCGACGTCGCGTGTTATGCAACTTGCAAGTTGAGCAAGTAGTCTAAAAAACGCAACATTTCGAGTGCGTTTCTTTGTTGTGTTTTGTAGACCACTTGTACAAAACATACCACTTGGGTTAACAATTCTATAAATTAGAGACGTTGTATCTAATTAAATATGTGGAAGATGCATCTTCCTCATGTTTAACTACTGTTACCAACACGCTCATGTTGTACTTAAGCTGTATCTAATTTATAGAATTTTGTTACAGTTGAAGTGAAAATAAAAGGGACAGACGCTGTCTGTCCCTCTTACTTTCTCTTCAACTGTAACAAAATTTCCTCTTTCTACCCCGGTCTTGGGTTAAAATAAACTTGGGAAACTTCCACCAGCTTGCCTGCGCACTGACCGTAATAATGTTCACCAGTTTCATCATTTTTAAGGTGGAATTAGATCTAACTATTCGGTGTGTGGTCTTTCTAGGCAATCCTAGAGAGGATTGCATTGTTTTCTTAATATGTGAAATGAATCGGAGTTGCCCTTTTTAATAGAATTGCTACCTTTCCCAGAAAAAAAACGGCCCTTCGCACAGGGGGGGGGGGGCGGGCGGGCGGGCGGGGGCGGGCTATATTGAAATTGTGTTGAAAGGAAGATGCCATGTTCGTCTTTGACAGGCACTGCAATTTATTGTAACGAATGATTCCCTGGAGAGGAATTAGTATAATGTACATGTGCACAAATACACAGCACTGAGCTCAATAGTACCGTGTGCAATTATATGCCCTCTTTAGTGAAAAATAAAGGCATTTCTGACTAATTTGCCACGCACAGCTGATAGAGAACCAATTAGTCTGCTGGTTGGCATAAAAATATCAGTGAATGGAATAACATTTGTACTAAAAGTGACTGAGGTTTTTGTCGTCGCTCTCAGAAAGCATTAACGTAATATCCCGAGTCATCGCCCATCCCCGAGCCATCGCCCACCCCATTTTTTGGGCCAATATCGATTTCCGAAAAAACACCGAGTCATCGCCCACCCCTTCAAATACCTCAGCGCGAACTCTGCGATCCGCGAACACTCATCCTACCCGAATGACGCGGCCGCGGACCTTACAGTTGGAGGACGTCCGTGACAAAGTAAAACGAAGGGAAAGACACTTCTTTTTGTTTACGCATTTCCTCCGTGAGCGACCCCAAAGCGGTCGTGTATCCGTGCGAAAAGAAAACGATGGAGATAACAAAATAAGAGTTTGTTAATGTAACCGCGGAATGTTAGGTCAAAGTCTGTCACCGCCGAAGTAAGGTCACCGCGAACCCGCTCCTTCTTCCCGCCCGTCGCGACCGCGGTTGTGCAATATTTTAGGCAAAGCTAACGCGTAAATAAAGCTTTGCTGGAACGCCCAACACACACGTTTGCAGAGCGTCCGAACCGTGCATTGATAGCCCGCCGTGCACGGACGCACGTATGTACGCACCAAACAAGAAAGTTGCGCAAGAGCTTGCAATTGACAAGGCGCCCGACTTGGCCCGACGCCAAAGTATTTGCCAACGCGACCGCCGGCTTTCCCGCGTTCCCAGCATTGCTCTTGGTCGCTTCTTTGGTCCGCTCGCTCGCTCGCTCGTTGCGCCTTGTCGGTTTTCCTATTTTCTTGTAGACTTTTCTTTCTTTTTTTTTTTTACTAACTAGGAGAACATAGTGGTGACATTCTTTCACGGAACAAACGTTCGCGCTATATGCAGATCGGCGGTGTTTCTAGCGCGTATGCAAGCAACGAACTTCGCTATAGTAAAATATTCTTTCGTGAGCATTTTTTTCTATAAAACAATGAAACTAAATCGAGTTTTGAGTTTGATGTATCTCTTGTGCATCAGCGCAAGATACGCAGAAAAAAATAGGCGGTTTTTTCCGCTTTTTTTCAAGTGTTTGTGCTCACCCACCGAGACATGGCCCACCCCACTTTTTTAATGAATTTCAGGCGGTAGGGGGGTGGGCGATGACTCGGGATATTACGGTATGCTCATGTAGACTGAGTGCAAATCCATATTTTTTCTAAAGTCGCCAGCTTGGGGTTTTGAACAAGTAGATCACGTCTCTTCAAATCAAATCAACTTTATTTATGATTTATGGCCTTGAGCCAACGGTGCCCCCAAACAAAAAGCTGCCAGAGGCAGCTTGACAAAGTCCGGTTTCTGTCTCCAGTTTGGCAGTACGACAGAAAACCACATGCACACATTTGCTATGTACAAAGGGAAGAATACTCTATGTGATCAAATAATCAAAAGCGCCTCTTTGAAATAAAACATTTCTTAATCTATTTTAAAGAAAATACAAAATTCACATAACGTCTTGTGACAGAAACAACATACTACAGATACAAAAATACAAAATTATCATAACTGCTTATGACAGCCGTAAAAACAGCGTACTACCAACACAAAAAAAGGTAACATGCTGCCTCGCCACTTGCAGGCCCCTTTCGAGAAATTGCAATTACTGGCTCCCCATGTGCGGCATGAAAAGTAACCGCACGTACTTCGTCCGTAAAATGCTCTTCGCGACTAAATCCACCAAACCAGGGGCATATTACGTCCGTTAAAAAGTATACAGTGCTTATGCCACAATGTATCGGATATTATCATATATACATAGACGCGCAATGATATGCAATACACAAAACAACGCAGAAAAACAAAAAAGGTAACATTTTATATGCTCGCCTTTTTCTATGTGCGGAACTTGAATGTATATTTCGAATTTGACTTAGCTGCTCAGATGAGCTGCTTGTTTTCTCTTGCCATCTTTAGAAAGTCTTCACAGCTGTACACCAAATATACCGCACACAGAGCTCCGCTTTAACCATTGGGACGCTTAGCTGATTTCTCTCATCCGTCCACAAGTTTCCCATTACGCTATGGACACGTTCCACAAACGCGTTGCTGCAGGGAATGGAGAAAACATGCTCCATTAGGTTCTGCAAATGGGGGCACCTGACCTCTTTCAAGAATTTGAGCCAGATCGAGATAGATTTCTCATCATGTCCTAGAAGCCCAGGGAGAGCATCTCTCAAAAGACAAAGCTCTGAGTACAATTCATCGCCTTCCTCCTCAAAGTAAATGCCAAAAAGCTCTCCCGCATTCATTACAACTGACATGCTGGGTGTACCTTTGCACAGATCAAATTTGTCATGCCTCTTAAATGGAGAATTTTCGAAGTCAAACCACTTTCCAAGGTACGCAGGCCCTGTCATAAACATTCACGAAGTCCAGCGTTGCAGCCTGTCCGCCCGGAAGGGTGTCAAGTCCCTGATTAGCCTTGACACCAAAGAACATATCATCCTTCCGGTTAATCAGCTGCTTCCTGAGCTTAGTCATTACAACGTAATGTTCTGTCGGCTCAAGATGACTCATTTCGAGGGTGAGGATCGTTGAATGAAACATTGCCAGAAACGAGTGCAGCAGATAGCACTCCGGAAGCGTGATGCACTCTGAAAGTCCATCGGCTTGGTTGCCAATAAATATCGAGATTATTTTTTCACACTCCTCCTTGCCCTGACTCAGTAAGTAGGACTTGATGGGAGCCCAGTTCTTAATCAGTCTGTTTAAGGCCATAAACAAGCTTAACCAACGGACAGAAATATGACCCAGCACTTTGCTATATTCCTGATCACAGAAGTGAAAAAACTTTTTCAATTCCTGTACACATTTCGAACTAGAAGAAAACTCTTCGAAGACCTTTAGTACAAGGGTTTCCACATCAAACTTTAAAGACTTCACTGCGTGCTTGGCAGCGTTGTGCAGTACATGGCAATTACAATTGGCCTTCAACAAGTGCGGCTGATCTTTTTGCATCTTCTGGAAAACGAAGTTGTGTTTCCCATAATTCACAGAAGCGTTATCCGCGCTATATGCTA